TTCCTTTACCACAGTCTGCCCAGCTCCTGACATAGTACATATCACTTATTGAATGAATGCTTGTTTATATTTAACTATGTAAAGATAACAGATTTATGACTAGATAAGGCAATCATTAAGTTAATTTTGATGAAATCTAATAGGTTCTCAGTTGATGGGAGACTATATTCTTTATTTGGAACTTTAGCAAGGAAACTGAAGCAGCTGATGTAAACATTAACTGCTTCACTGTAACATTGCGAGCTAAAAGCAAGCTGATCTTAAGCATTTATCATTGGACACTTGTGCAAATGAAGGTAATATTCATACAGTATCTCCTCCAAGCAAATCATGGTTTAAGGCTCTGCAAGACTCCATATAGAGAAACCCCTTTGCCAACAATCTAATCTAGTAACTATTTTTAGTTTATTAAAGAGAGTTTTCTTTTACAATGCACATATGCTACAAAGTTTCAAAAGATGAAGAACAGAAATTATGAACTAGAATGAAAGCTTTTCCTTTTTTCTCTGCAGGTTCTAAACATTGTGACTATGTTTAAAATTGGGTGTTCCATCCATGCTTCACATAGAATTAGGTCCCCGAAAAAGTAAAACCAAAACAAAACACTTTCTCTTCTTCCTCTCCTGTTTACTCTCCTTCCCCTACCACTACTAAGTGCCCCTAGGTGGCCAAGGTCAACAAACAAAAAAGCAGCTTCAGGATAAATTTCAAACTCAGCCATCTCTAAGGACTTTCCCTATCTCTTGCCCTCCTGTTCTGTCTTCCACACCAGACAGAAGTGAAGAAGAAAGATGTTGCAGTTGGAGTCAGAAGATGCCAGGCCAAGTCCAAGTTCAAGGCCCACCTTGCCTTATTTTCCTCACCTTTGATACAGGCTTATCACACTCAGTTACTATGAAAATAACTACCATGAAAGTTCCTGCAAACTACAATAGGTTGTTTGTATGTGACAGAGTCTTTGTAATTCTTAGCTGGAATTACATAATTAGTATCTGTATTGTCTTGTACTTATTGATCTTGAGTCTTGAGATCCACTGTGGATTCAAGCTCAAAGACTACATATCAGATCCCACCTTCCCTCAGTGCCTATAGGCCAAGCACATGGCACCCACACAATAAACATTTGTGGGTTGGTTACTGGTTTACTTACTGGATGGATTTGACTCAGAGGCAACGCGTTCTGTGATTTTTCTGAGTTTCTCATATTGTTCACTGTGTTTTCTGGAATAATCATAAAGTTTCCTAGTCTATGGTCTCTAAGTTCTGTCTTCCTTTCTTTCTAACCAGATGGGAAGAATTGCATTGAAAAGCAGACTATTTTGGCAAAGGAAAGAGATTCAATTTCTAGTGCAACCTTCAAAATTCTTTTTAAGGCTGAGATGAAAAACCAGAAACTTCAAGCCAGCTCTACCAATCACCACTCAATAAACTCAGTCTTAGGTCCTACTAAGACTGAGGTCCTACTAAGAATAAACAAGAAAAGGTTTGATCTCCCAGTGGTCCTGCAGGCAGACTGCTGGGGATAGAATCCCAGCTTCATGTTTTCCTAGCTGGGTGGCCTTACACAATTATTTGCTCAGTTTCAGTCTTTTTCCTCATTTGAAATATCTGCTATATTATCATCAAGAAGAAATGAGTTAATACATGTAAAAGTTTTTAGCTTGTAGTGCCTAGCAAAAGGTGACAATAAATATTAGAAATCTATCCTTACAGCTAAACAGATAAGACGCAGAGAAGAAAAGTGACCGATGTCAAGTCAAGGAGATAAAGAATTAGAAATCAAGGCTGGAACTCAGATCCCCAAGTCATATGCTGTTCTCTACTTATATCTATTACCTCTAGATAACTCTGGAGGAGTGAGACTCTGGAGGAGTACACCATCTTGATGCTTGATAAACAGGGGCAATAAATACACCCACTTTTCTTTCTGCAGGGATTTGCCATGGATAGCTGTTCTTCCCTACTTTTGAGACTTTAGTCCCACTCTATCCTGTTGGGCTTCCATGAAACTCAGGACTCACCTGAGAGGCTCCATCTGCTGGCAACTCCCAAGCCTCACTTTTTCATGGGGTTGTTGCAAGGATTAAATGAGATAATGCCTGGAAAGATTTCTAGCAGAGTATCTGATATATAGTATGCAGTCAATAAACGCTATCTATTTTAAAAGAAGGGGGTGGGGGCGCTTGGTGCATTGCTTTCTCAAAGCTGACACACATTCCAACTCCAAATGCCAAATAGGGGGCAGATTGAGATGTGGGGAAGAACAGAGAAATGCAGAATCTGGGAAGGATTACAGTGAATTCATTACAGACAGGAGGAGACTGGAATCCCCATTCTTCCCCTTCCAAAGAAGAGGAGGAGGAGAAGGAGCAAGAACCACCTTAGCTGGAACTTTGCTGACAAATCCAAACGTCAGAGCATTGGATTTTTAATAGTGTAATAATAGGAACAACGCAAAGACTACTTCTGACCTCCCAACTTGCTCTCTTCTGCAAACGTTTGTCTTGGCTGCATTCATCAATGACTGTATTTAGGCAATAATGATGACTCAGACACAGATTCAGTTAAATCAGATCCCACCAGACTCCTTAGAATGGTCACAACATGCTTTGGACTCGGAGTTCCAATGCACTTCCTCATCCTTCTCCTTCCTCTCCTAATACTGACAATCTAGTTCTGAAATGACGAACAAGGAGAAGGAAGGAATCTGGTGAGAAAGAACAGTAATAGAAGGAACAGAAACTCTTCCACTAATCCATCCCCATAGCGCAGCCCGGTGTCTGGGCCTTATCCATGGTGGGCTCGTTATAAATGCACAGCGAGTGAATCAATGTCCTCAAAGAGTTCGATGCCCAGGTGAAGAGTTTGCGTGTGGGGAGAACAAATCACGGGGGTTCATACCTTTAGCAAAGAGGCAGGTGCTCAGGAAAATACTCGTTTCCTGTGTGCGTGGGCAGCTATTTGCAAGTGGTGTAAGAAGGGGAGCATCTAGGAGTAACTTACACAGTTCTAAACGCACGATTATGCAAATCGCTTAAGCAAATATATGAAAAGCAAAGGGAAAGGTTTCTGGTCTGGTTTCCCTCGCCTGCCTCACACTCTTCAGAGGTTAAGGTGAAAGACAAAATCCTTGAGAGAACCATAAATACTCTCCAGGAAGACCATAAGAAACCTCCCCTGGCTCTTTGCACCTCGGCACCAAACCAGAGCCCCTGGGGTCATTCTCACCAGCTGAAGAAGAGGCTACCCGAGTTAAACTATCCCCTCAGTCTCCCCAGCCCAGACAGAGGAAAATAACAAGAGGACAAAAGATGTTTCTTTCCCAAATCCGAAGAGAAGGGACACCGGGCGGGGAGGGGGGGGGCAGGAAGGGGGGACAAGCTCTGCAATGCGAAAGGCAGGCGCCTAGCCCGGCTCGCCGCGGCCCCTGTCGGCAGGTCTGGATCTCTCGCAGGCTGATGAGCCTCCGGAGGTCAGGCACCCAGCTATCTAGAGGGGCGCGAGGAAAAAAAAAAAAAAGAGTTCCTGACCCCGAGGCACCGACCCGCACCACTACCACTTATCTATATGCTGAGACTCTACCGGTGACTCCACGCCCGCTCTGCAAGCCCCAAGCCGCCCCCACCCAGAGCGTGCCCGCAGTCCTTGGGCGCAACGATGCACCAGGACAAGGGCCATGGGTGCGCTCTTCCCTGCAACTGTCGCGGGGCACCTTGCTCCGCTGCAGGGCAAAGGGGAGGGGAGAAATGACAGGGAAGAAGGCGGAGCAGGCGGCCTGGGAAGCACTTACATTTGCCAGGGAAGCGCCTCCTCTCGAGAAAGGGAAGGAAGGGCTTCCCGAGGAAGGAAACGCCCCGGGGATGCCCCTATGCGAGGTGCCGCCTTTCCGCGGCTCATCTATTCTCCCGCCTCCAGTCTGTTTTCCAACCCACCCAAAGCCCCGAAAGCTGATCCTAGATACCTTCCCCGCGGCTTTCAAAGGGACTCACACACCGTTTCGGCTGTTTGCAGCTCGCGCAACAGGCAGAGACTTAGGACTCCAGCGACGGCACGCTCCAGGGACTGGAAGATGGGGGGCGCCTGCAGACAGGCGCCCAGTAGGATGCAAAGTCCCTTGCGGGAGTAGACCTGCACCCGCAACCCGAACCGCCGGAGCCTGGAGCATCAAAGGTGGGGAAAGATGCAATAAAGTTGAGGGGGCTCACGCAGAAGTCCCCTGAGGGTGCAGCGAGGTGGGGACGCGAGCAGGTACCTGCAGGAGTCCTGGTGCGTCTGGCTTGCTCCGCTCTGCAACGCTGCGCGCCAGTGCTGCAGGGATCAGGCCTCTCCGCGCCGCCCCGCGCCCGCCGCCTTGGCGGCGAGGAGAGCGGGGTGGCCCGAGTCGGTCGGTCAGTCCCTTGGTCCCGCCGGGCTTGAGAGAGGCGCCCGAGTGCGGCGGGCGGGGCCGGGCGGGGCCCGCCGCTCAGTCACCGCCCTGTTGGTCCCAGCTCCGCCCGCTGCCTCGAATCTAGGCGTTTACTTGGGCTCCCCCGGCCAAGGGCGCGGTGCTCCAGCGCGGGCAGTTGCAGACTGCGGGGTCAGACCGCAAGACAAGAGGACAGATGATTGGATTGAAACGCAGCTTTGCAGGACAAGTGCCCCCCTCTCCCATGCCCAGGCCAGTGCAGTCACCCCTGGAGCAACTTGCTCTGCCCCAGTGAACGCCAGAGCGCGTCCCGGGCCTCCCACCCGCGCGCCAGCCTCACCCGGGCTGAGAGCACCGAGGCCCGGCGAAGAAAACGAACTCCCCCGCGACTTCAGCGGCTAGGGTAAAATACTTCTCAAAAGTCGCGGCCCAAGCAACTCATAGCAAATTTGCCGGGGTTTTCTTGGGAAGTCGCGAGGCCCCAACTTGTTTTAAAACAAAGTGCGAAGGAGGAAACAGCCCCAGTTCTGCCAACGTTTGCCACCTCCCGCTGCTTGAAGACTCACAGGATGGTTTGTTCCATTCCTCGACTTACCAAGTCAGAAGAGGTGGCTGGACATATGCACCAAGCATATGCACCTCATGTGCAGAGGGGGAACCAATCCGGTCACCTTTCAGAAGGACGAATGGAAGAGAGTCAGAAAGAGATGCCTTTCGCTCAGATTGGGGAACAAACAGGACCCCAGAAAGGGCCGCATGTGGTTCAAAAGGCATTCCTGGCCTCTCTCCACCAATCGAGAACGCTCAGCCAACAGACTGGAGGAGAAATGGGACGCTGGGGGACCCACCCCCGCCTTCCCCCTCCCACCCCCAGACTGCAGATTTTTAAATTGTGCAGACATGCAGTAATTCCTCAGAGTCAGCTGCTCCAAGCTGTAGGAGCCCAGTGTTCCCTGGGTTCCCACTCGACATCACTAGCTCTGCCAGCTGCCCTCAACCGGGCGCCCCCAACCCACCATCTGCTGACCACCACCTCAGAGAAGCACTTAGCGAAACCACACAATTCGAGGATGGGTTCAAAGGAATCTGTGGAATGAGTGAAAGACACTTTCTTGATCTCGTGGAAGTACCCTATGGTGATCTGTGGGTTTCCTAATTATACTTTGTTCAATCAAAACCCACTGGGGGGCGGGGGGGGGGGAGGAGCAATGTTTACAGTATCTTCAAAGAGGTGAAACCTGAACCTTAAAGGGTGGTTGCCCAGAGGAGAGGATAGCCACCAAAGCATAAGATGATTTTCCCTTAAAGGACTGGGGACCACTGGTCTCCAGCATTTTCATTTGGCTCATGGAAGGCAAGGTAGCTGCAGAGCCCATGCTTTGGTTCCTCTGTCCCTGATCCCGTGGTTCTTTGGTTCCCCCAAGCCTGCCTCCTGTCCAGTAAAGGGAGGATCCAAAGCTTTTGTCTACATTGCTGTTAGCAAGAGGCTGGAAAAGGTAATTTTTATACACAATTCATCATCTTTCACCTAAGGTCTAAGTTTATACTTAAAATGTTTACATTTTATCAGCACCTTAAGAAGAATGATCCCAGGTCTCTCCCAGCAGTTAGCTATTTAATCATTCCAAAATCACTAAGTTTATCCCAAAAGCCCATGCTTGTTTGCTTGCAAAGAATCATGTTCTGCATCTCTAAGCCCTGCAGAAGGCAACTGTGCTGCAGGAGAATCTAGTCAGGTTGTAGCACTGCATGTCAGCAGGAGGGAAGGCACTGGTAGGGGTGGTCAGGAAGGGCCCGTAACACCTGCAGGAGCTGGGGACGGAAAGGGGTAAGCCTCCATTGTGGGCTGTAGAATGCATATGCAGAGGAGCACAGGTTTGAGTCAGATGTCTTGGTTCTCTGCCTGCTGAAGGATGTGGGAAGTCATCTAGTCTTTCAGTCCTGCTATTGTCATCTGTAAGGTCATCCTCACTCATAGGATGACCATGTGAAACAAATTAAATAATAAACAGGAATATGTTGTAGGGACCATAAAGCATGCCTGTTCCCAGAATATTTACTCTTGAACATTGACCACAGTTGAGCCAGGAAACATGGTTAATTTATTTCAAAACACACACACACACACACACAGTGAGAGAGAGAGAGAGCGCCCCTGTGTGTGGATCCCCTTCCCCCAATCTGTCCCCACCACAGTGGTACATGCTTTGACCTAATTGCCTTCTTCCCTCCACAGATCCACTTCCTAATCCATCAACATGTCCTTAGGATGCATGACATGATACCTACTCCCCTCTTAACTAATCACGCCTATGGGAAAGCCTCAAGGGAACCTCACATTAACTTGTCAACTGTAACTCATCTACTGACAATATTGCTTACTCCTCTGTGGTTTCAAAGAGGACTTCAAAAAGTCAAAGTCTTTGGGGATATATAAAGCCAATGTGAACCGCATCCAGTCTGTCTTCCAGACCTCTGTATACCCTTGCTCTGGACACTACCCGCTTTGGGCAGTCTGTCTCTTACCCACCTATCATATACTCACTCCTTGCTCTCTCTACACCCAAACCTGTCTTTGACCTTTAATTCTCACCAAAGTCTAAGTGACAGAAAATCTACTGGATATTGCCCCCACCCCCAACACACAAGGTAAGGGAAGTATTAATTTGCTTCTTAAATCCGGACAGATCTACAGGTGAAAATGAAGATGCTTTCACCTCCAGAAGAAAAGTGGACAGCAAGGGAGTTTTAGTAATAATGGTTAATATTCGTTCAGTCTGTCTCTTACTCATGCCTCCCTACTTGGCAGACTAAATGTCGCTTCAGCCAATCTGAGTACATGAAAAACCTGCAATTCCTGAAACTTACCAGATTTTTTTTCCAGGTTTCTCTGCATTCACAATGGGGCTGCCTCTGTTTACAGTTCCATTCCCAACCACCAATCCCTTTCTTGCTCAACAGAAAACTGACATAACCCAATTGATAATTAGGACCCTCTGGGAGGTCCTTCTCCCACCATGGGTTGCATATCTCCTCTCCACACTGCCTCAGTGTCCTGTGCTTCCTTCTTTCATGGCGACTGATGTAGTGGCCTTTAAGTACTGGAGAGCTCCTGCAAGACTAAATTTCCAGGATGTCTGCATGTTTATAAAGTGAATAACCAAAGGCTCTGTTGTAGGGCCTGCTGGTTCCTATCTGCTCATAGTGGGCTCTTCAATCCTTTATTTCCAGGCTACCTTTTACCAGGAAGAAGATAATATGTAAACCATCATATCTGTCTCTGCTTGGATATCAGGAAGCTCAGGACTAAACTCATATTAAATTAAATTAAATTATTAATTAGCTAGAATGCTCTTATTCCAGATTATTTCAACAAGGAACATGATTCTTTCATGAAATTCTATATGCTTACCTTAACTGCCCTCTCATATTTTCATAATTAAATGCCCTTTAAATCTTCATAGTCTTAGAGTCCAAAGGTTTAAATTTGGGCTCACCTCTGCCCTGATGAGCTCAGTGATATTTCCTCTTTGGCTCCCTCTTTGGTTTTGGATGATGCGATCTTTAAGGTCCTTGCCAGCTCTAAAAGCTTTATACTTCTATAGATTAAAGGAGATAGTGTATAAATTATTAAAGAAAGAAGAACCCTGTGACAGAATAGGGCCTACATCTCCAGGCACAAAAGAATGTTGACCTCCAGGACTTGGAGATGCCCTCTGAGGATGCTCTGGGATTTCCCAGCATGAGTTCTACTGACGGCCTGTGCCTGTTCAAAGCCTTTGAGCACACATACTGCACTCTGGTGGATACTCGTCACATGTTAGCCTAGTAAAGGCTCTGTCTGAGAAGTCAGTCTATGAAATGGCCTTCCAGAGGACTCAGTCTGGCCACAGCTTGACTTCTTCAAGCTCTTTACACTCTCTCTTCCTGTTTCACCCCATCTTTTCCCTCCCCTCTGCAAGCCCTTTGCATTCCAGCCTCACAGCACTAACCAATCTTTCCAGAGTATGCTATTTGAGTCTTGGCCCTTTCTGTGTCCTGCTCCCTAATGAATGTGTCCACTCTGCACCTGGAAAATGCCAAGTGTCACCCCTTCTGTAAGGCTTTCTCTGACTCAAAAACCAAATTTGATTGCTTTTACTAGTTCCCATTTTACTTTGTACAAAGCTCCAGTTACAGTTATGTTTCTGTACTAGTAGTGGAATGGAGTCTCATGCATGGAGAGGGAGGTCCTTGAGGGCAGGAACTGTGTGTATCTTTATAATCCAGTATAGATATTCAGCAAATGCCTTAAGAATGAAAAAGTAAATGATTGGATGGATGGGTGGATAGCTGGATGGACAAACAGATGGACTGATAATTAAGTTCCTGAAACTGCATGGGAGGGTGCAGAAAACCAAACCCAAAACACCAAAGACAGAGATGTCATCTTCATGGTTTTCCCTCAGAAGAGGAACTTAAGACCTACCCTTTATTACCAACTGCAAGAATAAAGGATATCTTCATGGTAGGCTACCAGACACAACCTCGTGACCTTTTCTACTTTCTCAGTAGGAGTGTCTCAAATATTACCTGGGTAACACAGTGACCAACCCTTCCCAGTTTATCTAGAACTGTTTCACTTTTAAAACTAAAAGTCCAGTGTATCAGGAACACCCTCATTTCAGAGCAAGCTGGGACAGTTGACTTCCTTTTAGCCATGTTGCTCCCCAGGATAAAAATCTACATGACCTTGCCTCCCATGAACTAGGAGAGGGCTCATGGCTGACTTCTTTCCCATGGGACATCGGTGGAAGTGATTCACTGGGCTTCTGGGGAGTGTCACCAGGGGAAGGGAGGCGCACCTACTTCCTTTTTTCCTTCTTGCTCTCTGGAGTACAGAGAAAACAGTTGGATCTGGACTAGACATCTGGACCCACAAGTAGAAGCCACATGACAAGGATAGCAGAGTAAGCAGATAGAAGGTACCTGGGTCACCCTAACATCCCTGGGATTCTTTCATTTATCTGAGGGAAATAAACTTATTATCTAAGTCACTGTTATTCAAGGTTTTCTTTCATTCACAGAACCCCATCTTTTGGGACTGTCAACATCACCCTCAGAATCTCCCTCCTTCTCAGGGTCCCAGTCCCTTGGATTCAGAAATGTCCCTGGGTTCCCTGAATACATGCTTCTAAGGAAGGGTCTTCTTACAGCACTGTCTGCAGCCCAACTCACTCTCACATGAAGGCCTGGTATGACCCAGAGGCAAGGAAGGGTAGAAAATATGAGAGCCCAGTACTATAAATGTTCTCAAAATGCTCAAGTAGTGTCCCCATCAGCTGCCAGCTGATGTAGACAGCAAAGCTCTTGCTGCCCACTTTGCCCTTCTAGAAAGTTCTTTAATTCCATCTCATCATCATATCTTGATAAGATAGCCTTTGGTTTCCATGTGTCCTTGCAAAATGTCTATGGCTACTTTTAATGTATATGCTTTTAATGTATATAAATGGTATTTGTCTTTAATCTCACACATCTCTTGCATTCTACTTAACATGATGTGTCGTTTTTAGCTCCATTCCTATTGTTCTTTGCATCTGGTCTATTTTCTTTATTACTGTGTGCATCACCCTGAAGCTACCCCTCCATTCCCCAGTGATGGATCCCCTGAATGTTCCACATTGCTCCACATTGCCACCACCACAAGCAACACTGGATTGAACATCCTTGTCCATGTCACCTTATAGGCCTGAGGAGAATTTGAGGGGGGGATATATACCCAGCAGCTGGATTGCTAGTTATAGACTACAGAGAAGGCTGATGTGAAAATATTGAAATGTTTCTGCATTGGTGGGTAAATAGCCATGCCC